GAATCGTGGCCTTGGCAGATCCTGAGCCAAGGGGCCAAGGTAACTCCGAAGGGTGCGCCCCTTCCTGGGCCTTCGCCCCCCAGCCGGGGCGGGAGAGGATTCCGGGGAACTGCTAAGGAAGGAAGGTGGCCCTGGCTGCTTTTGATCGCTTTCCAGTGGAGCCCCGGTGGCATCGTGGTTCTGTGTAAGGTGCCCGGCAAGTTCAGCAGTTGGAAACCACCAGCCGATGCCCCTGGGGAGAAAGACAGGGCTGTGTTTCCCAGCAAGAGTTACAGTCCTGCAAACCCGGGGGGAGGGGGGGGCAGTTCTAATCAGCCCTCGAACGTTTCTGTGAGTTGGAATTGACTCGATGGCAGTGAGATCCAGGAACTCTGGTGACATCGTGGGTTCCGTGTTGGGCTGTCAACCACAAGGTTAGCAGTTCGAAACACCAGCCACTTTTCCTGGAAAAAAAGAGGAGGCTTTCTACTCCTATAAAGGTTTACAGCCCCAGAAACCCACAAGGGCATTTTGACCCTGCCCTACAGGGTCTCTGTGAGCCGGAATCAGCTCGATGGCAGTGAGTTCACAGCGGACATAGGCCTCGGGGAGGCAGGAAAGTGCCCTTTGGCGCCCAGCCCTTGGGCTGAGAAGAAGCGGGGTGGTGTAAGAAGGTTGGTGCACCGGGTTAAAGAGCACCGCTGGGAGGAGGGGGCACGGGGTTTGAGTCGGAAATGCCAACTTAGTGAATTGGACACTGCCGGTTGAATGCGTGTGGTCGCTTAACCATTCCAACCATCGGTTTGCTGAGAGATAGACACTCTGTCCTCAAGAAAGTCCCAAGGACCACAGCCCTGTGCAGTGTTGGGCGTCTACTGCAGCGCCGGAGGGCACCAGGTCAGAGGACCGCCTTGTTAGGAGGAGAATGGAGCCTTGAGAGGAGTCCACCTTGGAGGAGGAAGGAAAAGGGCATGTGCAAAGGCTCAGAGCTGTAACGTGGCTTGTTGGCCAGTGGAATTCCCAGAGTTGGATGCATGGAAAACAGATGAGTGCTTGCTGTATTCCCCTCAGATTTTCATCAGTTTCCATGGAACTTGTGCTGACTCAGAGTCACCATCTGTGTCAGAGTCACACTGTGTTCTCAATGGCTGCTTTTCCAGAAGTAGATCACCAGGCCTTTCTTCTGAGGTTCCTCAGGTGGAACTCAAACCTCCAACCTAGCAGTTGAGCAGTAAGCACTGACCACTCAGGGACTCCCTGGCAACGCTGACAGTTGAGAAGTGGCCCTCACTCAGTGCCCTCTAGTCAGTGCCCAGGCTCTGGACTCCACTGGATGCTGGGGGGGGGGGGGGGGGGGGGGGGTTAGTCTGGGTACTTTGGAGAAACAAATCCACAGCAACTCATGTATAAGAGAGAGTTTTATGTAAAGAAAATGTGCATCATGAAAACATCCCAACCCAATGCTGCCCAAGCCCACAAGTCCAACATTAACCCATTAACCCAACACCAGTCCACAAAGTCCTCCACCTCACACCTATGGACTCAGCGAGCCCATAGGACGGAGTGGAATTGCTCCCTTAGCTTCCCGGGGCTGGCACTTTTCATGGGAGCAGAAAGCCCCCCCTCTCTCCCTCAGAGCAGGTGGTGATCTTAAATGGCTGCTCTTGTAGTTAGCAGCCCAACCTGTAACCCACGATGCCACCAGGGGTCCTGACAAGGGGCTACTCCCCTGAAATAAAGGCGCCATGGGGCAGAGTGGGTTACATGTTGGGCTGTGAGCTGCGGGGCCAACAGTTCAAAACCATCAGCCGCTCCACAGGAGAAAGAGGAGGCTTCCTGTGCCTGTAAAGATTTAGGATCTGGGAAACCCAGAGGGGCAGTTCTGTTCTGCCCTATAGGTTTGCTGTGTGTTAGAATCAATTTCATGACAGAGAGTGTGGTTTGGTGTCTTGGTAGCACAAAGTTAAGTAAGTGCTCAGCTGCCATGGGGAAGTTGAGTGGTTCAGACTCAGTAGTGCTCAGGCAATCAGGCAATCTGCTTCCATAAAGATACCCAACCAAACCACACTGGCTGCCATCGAACCGGTTCAAACTGCCCTCGTAGATTTCCAACACTGTGACTCTATGGCAGTGGAAAGCCTCTCCTTTCTCCCTTGGAGTAGCTGGTGGTTTCAAACTGCTAACTCTGCAGTTAGCAGCCCAGCATGTAGCCATGACACCACCAGGTATATGTCCTGCTAGTGACCCTGTAGGACAGGACAATCTGCTTCCATAAAGATTCTAGACCAGACCAAACTCACTACCCTTGAGTCGACTTCAACTCATAGTGACAGAGTAGAACCTCCCCTTAGGTTTCCCAGACTGTAACTCTTTACAGGAGTAGAAAGTCTCTTTCTCCCTCAGAGCAGTGGGTAGTTTAGAACCACTGATTTTGCAGTTTGCAGCCCAACACATAAATAAGATACTCAATGGGTTTACCATGAGTTGAAATCTATTTGAGGACAGCACACAGCCACCCCTCTCAATTTTCATCTTCTTGTGGGCAGGTATTTTGTGCCATTTGTCCCAGTGTACCCAAACTCCCAGAATAGTACCAGTGCCGTGTTTGTTAAAGGACTGTGCTGTCTGGAGGCCTCACTCCAGGGAGTCACACAAAGGCTCAGAACTAGAACCTAGTGTAAAAGGAGAGTCAGAGTCCTGCCACTTCACTCGACCCTGCCTCAGTCTCCCCAGCTGGATGGGGAATGGGCAAATCACAGGGCACAAATCCAATGCCTACAGCAGCCAAGCAGGTGGTGGATATGAGTGAAGCTGGCTACATTAGACTGTAAGGCGCAGTGGGGACTGAGGCAAACTGGAGAGAGAGCTCAGGGACTGTCTAAAAGTAACTGTAGCCAATAGTTGCCAGCGATATATGACCCAGGGGGGTTGCCAAATCGGGTGCTGTCAAGAAAATCCAAAGTCCATATATTTCTAGTGGAATTTCCCATTATAAAACACATTCATTTAACAAATTGCTCTTGTGTGTGCGCCAGCTGTGTGCCTGCCACTCTCCGAGGCAGTGCGGATAAAGCACGGAACGCAATGACAAGAACCCCTGCCCTCAAGGGGGTTGTGCATTAGTGGAGAAGGAGCACATGAATTCATAAATGTGCCACGTATCAGAGGCTCATCAGTGCCGTGAAGATAAGCGAACAGGGAAGAGGAATAAGGAAGAGGGAATGTTAGAGGTGAGGCTGAGATTTTAACTTGAGTGTCAAGTTTGGACAGTTTGCAGTCATTCTCCCACAGAATGACTGGTCAGTTCACCTGCCAGACTTGGGGTTCACAGTCAAATGATTAACCAACTGAGCCACCAAGGTTCTGTTAGCTGTTGGCAATGAACTTAAAATGTTTGCAAACACTGCAGGCCAGAGGGCTGTGTATGGGCTACAGCTTGTGTCCGTATCATGTGTCATGCCAGTCTGCAGCCTGCAGCCCAGATAATCTAGTCCCTACCAGCTCTAATACTTAAAGAATCCATGTACTAAAGGAAAGATTCCCAGATAAGCAAAGCGCAACTGAAAAATAAGAATAAAGTAGGAGGCCTCTCCCTTCCTGATCTCAGAACCTACTACACGGCCACAGTAGTCACAACAGCCTTGTGCTGGTACAACAGTAGATAAACAGATCAAACTAAAACCAAACTCACTACCATGGAGTTAATGCTGCCTCATAGAGACCCTACAGGAAATGGTAGAACTGCCCCGGTGAGTTTCCAAGACTGTAACTCTTTATGGGAATAGAAAGCCTCATATTTCTTCTATGGAACTGGCTGGTGGTTTGAATTGCTGACCTTGCAGTTAGCAGCCTAATGTGTAACCACTATGCCACCAGAGGTCCTACACACAGACTAATGGAACAGAAATGAGAACCTGGAAGTAAATCCATCCACCTATAAACAGCTGATCTTAGACAAAGGACCAAATCACATTAAAAGGGGAAGAGAGTGTCTTTTGAGCAAATGGAGCTAGCAAAACTGAATGTCCATTTGTAGAAGAACAAAACAAAACTCGTATCTCAGGACTTATACACAAACCAAGTCAAGATGCATAATAGATTTAATGTAAAAAAAAAAAGATTTAATGTAAAAATTAGAATTATAAAGACTATCAATGAAAAACAGGAGTGATCTTTGAGGCCCTGACATATTAGTGAAAGACACACAAACAGTAGAAGACAACTGAGATGGGTCAAATACATTAAGAAGGCATCGATTCTGACTCATAGTGACCCTGTAGGACAGGGTGAACCTGTTGCTGGGAGTTTCTGAGACTGTAACTCTTTATGGGAGTCGAAAGCCACATCATTCTGCCGTGGGGCTGCTGGTGGTTTCGAGCTGCTGACATCGTGGTTAACAGCATAAAGTGTAGCCACTACCCACAAGGCTCCCTTAACTAAATGATTGGGGACCTCCTAAAACTTAGACACTTTGATGCATCTGGAGATTTCCCCCCAATGAGTGTAAAGAGAAACCACAGATTAGGAAAAAAATATTTTTGCAATGATAGCTGATTGGATAGACACACAGGTTGGAGAGGGAGTGTACCCCCAAGTATATAAAGGTTCGAGAGGATATGTGTGTATCATTGCACGTATGTTCCTGAATGGTGCAGCATACAGGAGGGAAACTACAAAGCGTCTTAAATGTAACCAAATACCTGAGGAAGCCAATTGCTGGGCTTGAGGCCTCAGGATAATAGTCCTAAGGAATGCCAAGATCAATTGGATCATATTTCACTAGGACAATGGTCTACACCCTAATTTGGTGACATATCTGACAAGGGACTAACCTCTACAATTTATAGAAAATGTAAACACGTTAAGAAGATGATCAATAATCCAATTTTTAAAATGGGCAGAAGATATGAACAGATGGGGTCTTTAAAGCTCATGAACAGCTGTCTAAGGTGCAGCCATTGGTCTCTCCCTGCTTGGAAGAAAACAGTGAAGAAATTTCAAAGTCATCAGGAAATAACTAGTCGCATAGACTAACAGACCACACAAACACCAGTCTCCAC